TCCTGGCTGAACCCAGCACACCATGATAAGACTGTCTTCCCTTCTTTTGTAGTCTCTGTGGGAAAGTCTTAAATGATTGCTTGTTTAATATTTAAAATTCAAGTGAAGTTGATACTTCAGGTACCTGCCTCAGGCCAGAGGCCTGCCTTGACTCCTGTATACTGAAATGTGGGTTTGAGGCGTACTTACAGAAGTCATTAAGACCTTGTTAATTTTGCTACAGTATGGAAGACGTCTTTATGGGAAGAATAAGGAGATACTTCAAGGACAGTTTTAATATATTTTTGACAACTGAGCTCAATTTGTGCTACAGTTCCTGTGTGATTGATAGGAAAAAGGTTTACTTGAAGATTTAGTTATAGCATGTTGAAATCTGGGTTATCATAGATGCTATTAAATCTTGAGAATTAATGCTTCCTGTTCTGGCTATGTTGGGGTTTTTTTTATTTTTGGTTTTGTCGTGGAAGGATGTGTCAAATTGCATTAAAAAAAGGTAGAAAACGTTGTGTCACCAACGAGGAGTTTCAGAAATTGTGAGATAGCTTCTTTACAGTGCAAAGGGATTTCTGTGGGACAGGTTTAATATGTGAGAGGCCAGCAAGGCTGAGGAGGTTGGCTCGACAAAAGCACAAGTTTTTGGTGGGAACGAATGTATCTTGAGTGCAACCAGGAGAGGTTGATGGGGGTTTTGTTGCCCCCTCGTGACCATTGCAGGCACTCCAGCTGCCTGGAGACTTCCGTTGCCAAAGACCCTGTTGTAATTCTTCATGTTCTAAATTCTTAAAACCCAACCACAGATAACTTGCATGTATGGATTAAAGTAATATTTAGCCCTGTGCTTTCCTGAGGCATCTTTAAATACAATGTTGATAGATAATTCCCCTACCGCTACTTTTTTTATGTGATGTTTAGACTTGATGGTTGACAGAATCAGTTTTAAACAGGTTCTTGTTGCAAAATTATTATGCTCCTTTGATATCCTCAGTAGTAAGAGCAGACGTGAATTAAATGTCGCAGAAAATGAAGACTTGAGTAGCTGAAGGATGAAAACCTCTCGAGGCTGTTAATGCAAGCTCACATTTAGCATTCGTACTGTGGCTTTGGGTTTTGGGGTCTTTGCTCCTCCTTGACACTTGTTTTAACACCAGAAGATTAATTTTCTTTATAACTAAAATTCAGGTGAGTATTTCACTCTTCAGAATCTGTAGATGCTCTATATATTTTGTTCTGTGATTTCCCTTTTTAATATTAGATAATCTTATTGAAACTGTGAAAGTATGCAGGCTCTTTTCATTGAGACCACCATGTATTTGTAAATATTCCTTCTCCTCCTTCACACACCAAATGATGTTTGTCTGTCAAAAGCTGGATTTGTTACTTCAAGTTCATTCTTTAAAGCTGGCTTTTTTTCCGTATTTTTCCCTTTCCCTCTTTTTTTTTTTTGGGGGGGGTGGCAGGGTGTGAATGGCTGACAACAGCTGTCCCTGGTTAATCTGTGAAGAGAATCTCACATTTTGAACAGCAGCGATGATGTGTGAGGTTTATCTTGCACCCATAACTTCCGCTGGGGAAGTTTTATATACAATAATTCTGATCCAGCAGTCATTTGGGAATCGATGCATGCCTTCAGGTGGGAAAGGAGGCCAAAAATACGCAACCTCCCATGGAAATTATGATGAGGATAGTGCCCAAAGAAGCAAAAAACGGAGTCTTGGAATTCTTGCTGGAAGTTCAGAGAGAGAAGGTTCTACCTAGTAGTGTAATGGCAGAGAAGGTTTCTTTTCTAGAAGGGTTTATCGACTAAACAGAGGAAAGAAACTGTTCTTAGAGGCTTCGGTTCCAGAAAGAGCTGTTTCCTGTGCAGACCGTGTTCCTCTTCGAAATGCAGTGAAAACCTTTCTGCTCCTCATCTGGCTCCATGATTTCTGTTGCGTGTCTTCCTGTCCTCTCTGCACCCCTCCCGGAGTACCCAAAACCGCGAGGACACAGGCAGCGTGTCTGCAACGCACGAAACGGGACGTTAACGTCGGCGAGCTTTGCCTTTGCCTTCGCCTGGAGGGGGTGTGCGCCACCGCTTCCGCAGTGGTGGCACTGTTAGGGCTCTTCGAGGAGAGGGATGCGGGCATAGTTTGGTTACTTAGATCCAAGGCAAAATAGTGGTATCACGCCCTTCTCAAATAAGGGTGAAGAACTGGCCTGATACAGCGGTGCGATGTATCCGTTTTGGGGTATAATTGTTGTGATTGCAGCCCTCCGGCGCAGGTTTTCAGTTGAGTCACAGGGCAGTCGGCGTGGGTAGGTGCGCTCGTGCTGTAAAGCTGAGACAGCACTTAGCTGCCCGTTTGCTGTCTCACGAAGCTCTGGTCACGCTTGGGAGAACTTTGTTTTGTGGCCAAGCGTGTTGGGCGTAGATTCGGCCGGATTGAATTGGATTACCAGGCTTCCTGTTTGGTTTGTCGCGATGCAACCTAGTCAGCAACCGAAGAGCTAGGAACGTAAAGATGCTGAGGCTAAAATCCAGTAATGAATATGAGGTGCTCTGTTTTCTTCTGGAAAGCCGTGTAAGTCTGTAGGAAAGTAAGAGTTTAAGATGCCTATTTCACTTCACGGAGCTGTGGTTTTAATCCGGTGAGAATGAGCCGGTATGGGAATGTAAGCAGATAAAGAAAATGAATGAACAGATGAAAGTGGAAAAGGGCAAAGAAGATGTAGTTTGTACGTAGAATGGTATTGCTTCTCGTAGATAAAAGGTTATTTTTGTTAGGGGATGCGGTCTGTTGCTTGAGCAATTTTCCTTCAAGGAGTTTATCCCTGGAACCCATTGTACAGTAGAGACACGTCTGGGGTTCTTGTGTCAAAAAGCCGTAAGTGACTGATGTGGCTGGATGCTTATTCTTTTCATAGGGAACAAATGCATAAAGGCTTCAGTGTTACGTGTTATTTGTGGCACTAATGGCTTTGAAATTTCTCAAAGCGGCTTGTGTATAACTTTGTAGTTCCCAGAATCCTATTGCCAGTAAATTTTAACAAGTTTCTTTGGTTGTTTTAGAGGTGTATTTGATGCTTCCCTCAAAATGGCTGGGTTCTATGGACTCTACACTTGGCTGACTCACACTATATTTGGAATTACCATAGTCTTCATACCATCTGGTAAGAATTTGAACAATTATAATCTATTTATAGATAATATTACATAACTGTTAATTGTATGAGATCAGTAGGATTGTTGCTGATAAGATTAGTCTTGAAGTTATTTTTAGAGGACATCATTAGATCAGAAGCTGGTGACTATCAGAGTTGCATAGGTAACCTTAAATGGTTGATCTGTGCAAATGTCTGAAGAGAGTTTCTAATTACAGGACCGGCTACTTTTTTATCATAACACCTGAGTCTATTGATGAACTCAGTGTATGGTATGAACTTAAGTAGCTAGCCATTCAGAACTTTTTTCTTTATATCCTATTCAATATGTGACCTCAGTCTTATTTCCTGTTTATTGTCCAAACCCCATTATGAAAATGCTATGTTTAATACTTTTGTGATTCCAAAGAACTACTTAGCACTGATTGATTCTTCCAAGTTTAAATTAAGCTACCGTAGATCCAATTATTCTGTGAATATTGTACAGCTTTTCATAGCTCTTGTTTTCAAAATCTTTAGTTCCAACTGAGAATGTATGTAGCACTGCTGAAAGCTTATTCCACGGGTGTTTCGGGATGGCCATGGGTAGGGTGGAGAGGACTCCCTGATTGCTGTCTTACCTCTGAGCCTTGCCTTTTTCTGTTTTCACAACACATCCCCTGCAGCATTTTACTTCACACTATTTCTTTTGCTGGATGTAAGTCTTCTCCCCTTCTATTCAGTCCACATCACAGAATGGTTTGGGTTGGAAGGGGCCTTAAAGACCATCTAGTTCCAAGCCCCCTGCCATGGGCAGGGACACCTTGCACTAGACCAGGTTGCTCAAAGCCTCATCCAGCCTGGCCTTGAACACTTCCAGGGATGGGGCATCCACAGCTTCGCCAGTGCCTCACCACCCTCTCTGGGAAGAACTTCTTCCTGATATCCAATCTAAACCTCCCCGCTTTCAATTTAAACCCGTTACCCCTTGTCCTGTCACTACAGGCCCTTGTAAAAAGTCCCCCCCAGCTTCCTTGTAGCCCCTTCAGGTACTGGAAGGCTGCAATAAGGTCTCCCCGGAGCCTTCTCTTCTCCAGGCTGAACAAGCCCAACTCTCTCAGCCTGTCCCCATAGCCGAGGTGCTCCAGCCCTCTGAGCATCTTTGTGGCCTCCTCTGGACTCATTCCAACTGGGCCATATCCATCTTATGTCATTCCAAGTTTATACTTCATTCTGCCTGCCTTGGCTTTTGTTTCTTCCATAGTTGACAGGTACTGATTTTTCAAGATGTCTAAATACAAGAAGATGTGGTATCGTGAAAATGCACGACAGAGGGGCGCTTCTTACTCTTAGTGCTGTTGCCTAACTGTATTACCAGCTTCTGGTTTTCTGTTGTTCTTTCATCTGAGTTTTGGAAAAGGATGAGCAGTTTTCACGGAAGGAAAATCTTCTCCCCTGTTCCTCTTTTGCCTCTTTTCCACTAAAAATAATATTATTATTAATTTAAAAATGCAGTACCTTCACGTACGAGGGAGCTCAAGGGGAGGCTGTAAAGGAAGAAACCCCAGTATAGTAGGAAATGGCTGTATTACAAAGTGCAGGTGCCTTGAAGGCATTGGTTCTCATCAGACCTGCTTAGAAGATAATAATTCTTTTTCTTTCAGCTGTGTGCAAAATCTTAAAATGTTTTTGCTTTCCAGTTAATGAGACCAAAAAAGAGGAAAAAAGACCCTCCCTTAATTATTTTTTGTACTACATTTATTCCTGTTGCATTAAATTAGAAGGACAGCAGTACTGCATCCCGTTAGATTGCATCGGGTATTTGTGTAATCAGAAGGGTGCAGGCCTGTGCGCAGACAGAAGTGCCCAAGTCGTGCAACCCACTATGTTTGCCTGGTTTCTCACTGTCCTACCTACAGTATCATGGCTGACAGCAGGAGATGCAGTAGAATACAGTCTGCCTGTATACTTTCTGACACGCAGTTGCTAACCTGTAGTTACGTAAATAAGTTTGAGAGGTGTGTGATATGTATAACTTCAAATTTTTCTGAATTGGAAGTAGCTCCTTAGGGCTGACAGTTGGTAAAGCTTTTCTGTAGGGGAAATAGTGTAATTTAACTGTTTTCCTAAACTAGAGCTATAAAACACCAAGAACCTTACGTGGCATTTCTGCAATGTCCTATTTACAACAGGTGAGGGAAGTGGGACTGCGGGTGTGACTAAAGTGTCAGAATTTGACTGTAAACATGTTTGTGAAATATGCTCTCTGGTCTCTTTCTCATCCCTGCCCCTGCGTTCTCCAGCATTAGCAGCAGTCCTTGGAGCGGTGCCGTTTTTGGGGACATACTGGGCAGCCATCCCTGCAGTCCTGGATCTGTGGCTTGTGCAAGGACAGGGATGCAAAGCCATTCTGCTCTTGGTTTTTCACCTCTTGCCAACCTACTTTGTAGATACAGCCATCTACTCGGATATATCAGGGTGAGTACGTCGAAGACTCTTTGAAGTCAGTGTTATACAACTGCTTAACGATTGTCAGTGCCTTTAATTACACTTGCTTTTCCAAAGCGTGCGGAACATATCCTAGAATCCTAGAATGGTTTGGGTTGGAAGGGACCTTAAAGATCATCAAGCCTAGGGTCAGGTGTAGCGGTACCACCTCACAGCGGGAAGTCCTACTGGCCAGCGGGAAGTCCTACTGGCCTAAGTGCCTTCACTTTCGCAGGTTTCCCTTCTGTGAACTTTGTCGCTTCAGAGGTCTCGAACTCGTTCTCAAAGTCAGCAAAACCAACTGCTTCCATTGGTAAAGTGCTGCTAGGAATACCTTTGCTGTTTATCTAATCGTTGGCTAAAGACGTGTAGCCTTTTCCTTTGCATCTCCTAATGCCAGATGATGCTGCAGAACAAACAACAATCCCCTGAGCTGGTTAGGAGCCTGAAAGAAATGCTTTGATTTTTCAGCCTGGGTTGTGAGAATTGTGAGGACTTTTTTTGAAGCCGGCCTTTGCGTTATGTCACCGTGCCCCAGTGTGAAAACACGTCGATTATGGGTTGATGCCTCACCGTGCCCCTGCGTAAAAACCCGTCAATTATGGGTTGGTGGTTAACTGTCTGAGACAGATGAGGTTGGGAAACTGGAGATAGGCTGCTCTGGAGACAGTAGCCGGTGCTCTTTTCCTGTGGTGGGAGGTAGGCATGGATTTATTGAAAAGATCTTGCTGCGTGCTTGGCTGCCTCCTGTTGTCCTGCAGTGTTTCCTGGTTTCGGCTTTGAGTTTGTACACAGAGAAACAAACTCCAGGCTGTGGAGGTGAAGTCAGCACCTGCAGTTGGACCTGGAGTGCAGCTGAAATGTCCGCTGGCATTTGCCGCTGCCCAAGTACGTAGCGAATCCCGTTGTGCTGTTCGGATTAGAGGACGAGGCAGTGCCGTTCAGCGGAGACAGGGACTGCCAAGTTTCATGTGTGCCAGACGTGTTCACAGCCGTGTACATGACGGGTACCGAGTTGTGCTCCTCTGGTCACGGCTTCAGCCCTGGTCGGCAGAAGCACTCCTAGTAAACCCTTTGAACTGAGAACTTTGTGGACCAGGCTTAGTTACCTGCAGGCACTACTACTCCCTTATTTGTGCTGGTTTTTATTATAGTGGAGGTAGCATAGAATAAGGACATGAAGTGTTTCAGTTCCTTGTTAAGTTAGAGGTAAATATTTTCATTCACCAAATATAATCATGCCGAGCGGAGAGAACCTAATGGCACTATGCACAGTGTTTATAGCAATTTTCATAGGCTGTGGCATTAGTTATTTCGCATGAATTAAAGCTAACAGGTGAAGTATAATCAAATTACAGATTTTTTTTTTCCAACAATAAATTGTGCATAAATTTAAGGCTAGTAGCTATTTAACCAGCCAATAATTCTTCTACTGATTAGAATGCGTTTTTTGACTGTAGGGGATGCAAGGTCTGTTTACTGTCCAGAAAATATATGTGGCGGGAACAGATTTTCTCGTGGTGGAGCAAAATTGTATTTTTCCAATTAAACAGAAGAGTAAGCATCGTGCTGCCTGGGCAGATTAGATTTAATCTATTTGAAATGGCTATAATGAGGTTACGCAGGGTTTTCCAAATGCATTAGATTTATACTGTAGTCCTGTTTCACCAGGTGATCTGTTGTTTAATTTAGGAAGGTAGCCAGGAGAATGTTTAGGCTGATGCATATGCTGGGGAAAAAAAGCATTTTAAATATTTAAAGATTTAGAAATTAATCATGTGTCTGCTGTTGGAGAAACATACGATTTTAAGGTCAAGTCTGTCCCCTCAAAAAATAATGTGGCCCTACCAGTAGGTTAAATTTGATCTAGGTGAGACACGATTGAGGTGTGCGTGGGGTAATGTGTGACGTTTCGTTGTCTGCCAGGCAGACTGCCACCGTGGGAGCTGGGTAGAAGTCAGGACCACGGTAGAAACCCAGCAGAAACTGCCGGAGCTCTAAACAGACTAGCTGGTATTTTCACTCCGTTACACCCAGAATTTAGAGCGACTTCCTGAAAATAGGGTGCTAAACTTCAACTGTAGCTTTTCTTGCATAATTCCATGTCACCATCACTCTGTTAGCTATAAAGCTTAAGGATGCCGAGCAGGTTTTGTGTGAAAGCTGTTGATAGGGCTTGTGTTGTGCATCTGAACTGAAACACGGGGAAGAAAACTGCAGTGGCTTACTCGCTGCCATAGCAGCACTTGTCGAAAAGTCCTTTGGCCCCAGCGTTCCGGTAAGTATTAGTGTGTCCGTAAAAATCTGATTCTGGTTTTCATCTGGAAACATTAAAAGCTAATGGTAACGGACACTTGAATCTGAGAGATGATTTTGGGACAGAAGGAGGAGACGTGACTGTCAGTTTAAAGCATACACGCTCGTTGTTCTTCGAAGGGTGCAGCGCAGGTTGGGGTCGTTGCGTCAACGAGTGGCTTTGCTCAGGGGTGCTCGCGGTACTTCTTGCCAGGTGTCTTCAAATTTAACAGCAGTTGTTGGCCGTGAAGTATGAACGTTCCCTGTAATCAGTCATCTTTCCGTTGTAAAAGCGGAAGTGTTTTTGCCACCGACTCTGTCAGACGCTCCTCCGCGGATGCCTGTAAAGTAGCGGCTCCGTGGTGGGTGTTCTGCAAGCGGTGTTACGTGCTAGAAAACATCGTTTGACCTGTTGTGCAAGTGCAAGGCAGAACGCAGCTTGGAATATTTGTCCAGTCACTCAAGCAGCAGGGTGAATGCCAGTGTGGGTATCTACAGCTTCCCATGTCATTTTTCTAAGCATCGTAAAGCTTTAGGATTAACTAGCATTTCACAATTGATGGTATTGCCCTTTGTTGTTCTTCATTTAATTTCGTTCTGCTTGTGCCATAATTCCAGAGGGGGTCATCCCTACCTGACAGGTCTTGCGGTAGCTGGTGGAGCCTACTACCTGGGACTGGAAGGAGCCATCATAGGACCAATTCTGCTTTGTATACTTGTGGTTGCTTCCAACATATACAGTGCCATGTTGGTGAGTCCAACAACTTCAGTACCCACTCCATCACAAGCAGCGTGGCCGTTACAGATTTACCGGTAAGTTCCACACGTCTTATGTGTATGCACGGTGTTTTCGCCTGGGTTTTTAGGGAATGTGTGCATGCACCTTAAGTATGAGTGTGCATACACACCTATGTGCATACCGGAGTATTTGGAGAGGATTTGGCAATCCTATGTTCTGTCTTATCATAGAATCACAGAACGGTTTCGGTTGGAAGGGACCTTAAAGACCATCTAGTTCCACCCCCCCTGCCATGGGCAGGGACACCTTCCACTAGACCAGGTTGCTCAAAGCCTCATCCAGCCTGGCCTTGAACCCTTCCAGGGATGGGGCATCCACAGCTTCTTTGGGCAACCTGTTCCAGTGCCTCACCACCCCCTCCGGGAAGAGCTTCTTCCTGGTATCTAATCTAAACCTCCCCACTTTCAGTATTATTTTTTATCATTTTTTATAATCCTATATTATTTTTTATCATAAAAAATATGACAAAGTAAAATACTCACCGGGACTTGTAAACTTGAAATGACTGTTTAACGTCTCTCAGCTTCCTACAGAAGGCTGTTTTACAAAATACACTGACAATACCTTTGTATCCTATAATTTATATGTTGCCCTTGTGCTAGGAGAGGACTGAACGTAGGTTTTGTTGTGTAAAACTATTATTCATGGACATCTAATAGTCAGTGTTCATTGTTCTTAATGAGGCCTGCTTGCAAATGCTGCATTTTTTTATATGTTACTGTACAATACTGCAAAATATAAACAAACATACTTGAATTTTAAAAATGAGATGACATTATATATATGCCATTATTCCATTAAAGGTATGGTCTTGGTTAATCTCTTTATCAAAGTTACCAAAGTTGGAATGTAGAAATGTATCTTTAAACTGTACGGTTAAGGAATGGAATGAATAAACTTCTAATTGAATACTTAGTTAGAGTTGGAAACCATATTGTGACGTTATTAATGACGGTGGCCATTTTAATGTCTCTGCTGTCTTGTTCAATTACATAGGCTGGCTCATTATCCATGTATCTTAACGAGAATTCTGTGCTTATCAGTAGTAATCCTTTGCTTCATTTACATGAGTAATGTCACTTTCCCATGAGTATGCAGGGGAAAAAACTGTCATGGGGCCTGTCTGTAGTCTCTGCCCCGCAGAAGTTATGTCCCAGGACTTCCTGTAGAGCCTCCCGTGGCACACACAGAAATCTACATGTGTGTGCGTTTCCTGTTTCATTTCTAGGAAAATAGGTATTTGTAATCACTCAGGGGATTGGAGCATTACCTTTTGTTTTTCTCCTCCACCCCCAGGTCAGCCAGAGAGAGCGCTGAGGAGGTGAACGTGGCTGCAGAGTGACGAAGGCGCTGCGCTGCACCCGTTCGACATGGAAGAATTCGCTGTCGTCTGTCTTGACTTCACAACGGCCATGGCCTTCTGTCCTTTTCCAGCTGTGCCTGGGGGCAGCTCACGGGGAAGCTTAGCTTGGGGTTTAGGAGAAACCACTTCTCGAACCTCTGCTGGCCTTACGTTACTGCGCACCTTGCTTCTTCGAGGGGGAATGTCTGCTTCCCATGGCTTTGCACACTAGCATACAGGTCAGCTGCCCTCTTGAAGACCTCCAAGACCTTTTGTCTTCATAAAAAGAATGGTTCAGAGGACAGGTATATCCACTGGAGCCATTATTTTGTCTGCTAACAGGAATAACTGGGATTTTATTTATTGGGTTATTGGTGTTACTGAATTGTTGTAGCTTTAAAGAAAGCTAATGCCAAAATATTTATTCTCAGTTTAATCTGGTGGCAAAAAGGGTGTAAACCACTCATCGTTATATAGAAGTAGAATATAATTATTTACTGTTCCTCCGCGTACTTCTTCAGAGGCTTCGACCATCACCTCTAACTTGGAACACCACCTACGTATTACCCTCTTGTACACACTGAAATGGATCGTTGTTGGAGACTGGTATTTCCGATACCTTCCTGCAGTCGGTACACGTGCACATCGTTAAATGTGGGTTTTCCTCACGCTGGAACAGGAGGACTTGTTTGGGGAGTTTAAGTCTTGCCCTCATTTGCAGTGAAAGGCGGTGGCATTCTGCCGTTTACCGACCATCCCAGTGGGGTCGTCGTGTCAGCTGCATTTAATCCCAGGCCTCACGTCTCTTTCAGGCAGAGGCAATTGGCACGCCTGCTTCCAGGAGCAGGAAGAAGTTGAATGGGGATTGTTTAACGTTGCTTTTCAGATGCTGTTGCTGAGCTTGGTTAACTTCTCAAACAGATTTATTTCCAAAGAGGACGGGGAGAGGGCGTGGATCTTGTCTTAGTTTAGTTTGGTTTTTCCCTCTGTAGGCCTCTGGCCAGGTATGTTGGTAAGATACAGGGTACGTCTGGTGTGCTAAGATCCAGCTAAACGATAAACAGAGTTCTTCAACTCCTGAACGGTGTGTTGCCTAGGTCACAGCGTCAGGCTGCTCCAGTGCTTTTCATCTGTACATAATTTGGTTTAAATGGCAGTTTTGGTGGCAGTTAAGGCCTTTTGTGTTGATTGTTGAAATACTTGGCCACTGTGGATCTTTGTAAATGGATACTTTTTATAAACAGGAAGAGGGGGCTTGGGTAGAAATTCCGTACTCGAACGGCTTCTCCACAAACGCAGTGTGAGGCCCGAGCTACGAAGTAGCGGATGCACACGCTTAACCAAAGAACCACCTTTCAGTTTCTAGTAGCTTCTCTTGAATTAATTTCAGAGATTGATCGATAATGAGCTATACAAGGTAGAGGCAAGCCTTGCGTTCACTGTTGGCAGTAAAGCAACCGTTGGAGCAAAAATCCATTTACCTCGGGCTAAGGATACGTGTGTACAAATAGCTCTCGGTAACGTTTGTTTTACTTGAGTTGCAGAAGTGCTGATAGATTTGGAAGGCTCCTATTTTCATGATACTGCGTGTATTTTGACATTCTTCCTAAACCTACGTGGCCGTGGAGAGTGTTCTGATCCTTTCTGAGCGGGAAAGCCCTGGTGAGGTTTGCAGTGAACGGGGTGCCTGTGGAGACACGAACAACGCACGCCTCGGGTGCTTGAAGTCGGCTGCTGCAGCTGTACTGATGAAACGTTATGCTTAGGTGGGGGGTCTCAGGCAGGCTGGCTTTGCACCTGCAAACCTGCCGGCAGGTGTTTGGAGGACAGGCTCGGGCCTAAAATCAGGGGTTTGACTCAAGTTCTCCGAAATACAGAAACACACTGTTTGATGTTTCGAATTTTGAAAGACCTGCGCATCGACTCCCACTAGTGAATACGAAGGAGGCAACTGCCCTGTGTTTTAACTTCCTTGGATTTGTAGGTCACGGGAAATCTTTAATAAAGTTAACAGTTTTATGATTGTTGCTGGCTTGGGTGGAGGGTGCCAAAGAACCTGAGGCTGTCCCTCAGAATTCCCACAGCATTCTCACCAGCTTGAGCGAGGCCACCGTCAGACTTGGGGAAGTTCTTTATTGTGTTGCTTTTTAAGTTTGGAGTTTTGCAGCGAAACGTTGTGTTCTCGTTCTGGCTTCGTGTAGGCAGCCATTAAAGAAGGAGAAGAAATCTTAAAGTGAAGAGAGATGATTTTGCCTAGAGAATTCCTCTCTGGGTGTAGTTAAACCCTGCCCTGCTTTGAAATGGGGGTTCATACTGATGCTTCCTGTTTCAAACTCTGCTGAGATTTACCGGGAAGAACCACCGGAAGTGCAGTCTTTCTCCGTACATGTAGCTTCAGGAGCTCGGGCTGAGAAACCAGGTGTTTGGTGCAGTGGTGGTACGTTAACAGACTGCTGCAGAAAGGAAAGAAAGAAACTAAACCCCCAATAATACCTTCTTCTATGAAATACTCACTGAATTTTGCCATGCTTAAAAAAAAAAAAAAAAAAAAAAAAAACAACAAAACCCGAGCAAACCAACCCAAACACAACACCACCTTGCGAAAGAGCAGTCCTTGATTTGTTAGGGTTTGTCTCTGGTGTCTGATTACCGGTAGAAATAGAAGAACTTCTCCTCGCATGCTGAACAATCTCTTTTCTTTTCTGAAAAGACTCACCCTCTGTAAGATCAGTTTAGTTTAGATAATCAAACCGCTCAGTTGGCCTCCTGGTCACGGTAACGTGTCAGGCTGTACTGCCTCGTCTGCAGAGCACGCAGCAGCTCCCCAGTACCAGCCTTTACGTGGCTCGGGGGGTTAAAAAAAGGTGGTGGTGGGGGCGGGAACGACGACAACAGGGGATAGGGGTGAACACTCCTCACGCTCCCTTTTCTCCAGTGGCATTAAACTACAGTTTTCTGAGGAGAGACCATCTTTTTCGTAATGCTGATAGGCGAGAAGTTGATGGTCAGTAGCATTAATGCAGGCCGTCATTCCAGGAGCGGGTATTCACTTGTAGGTAGCGCGCTTAGGATTCAGTTGGAACAAAACCAGTTTGGAACTCGGAAGGGAATGCTCGTAGCAAACCAAGACAACGTGGTCTCGTGGTATTGTAAAATTCAACTCTGCTGGTTTTTATTCTCCTCTCCTAGCCAACCAGGCTTCTTGTAAATAAGCGTAGGGCCCGAGGGCTGCTGGTAGCCGTTCTTGCGCTGAGTCTGCGTTAGCCCTTTCTCCCCTAGAGGGAACTGGAATTGCTTAACGCTCTTCACGAGCGTCAGAGGGGCTTGATCTTTAACCTGATGCTGTTTATACTGGTAAAACACCTCAGCGTTTTATGGTAAAATTCTCCAAAATCGCTTTGAAGCGATAAAATCGGACATTTAACTAAATAAATAAATAGAATTGCAGCCTGGAGAGTGAACTTGGCATTGCGAGACCAAAACTAGCGCGGGAAGTGATGAGCGCGTTTGGGGATGCTGCCGTGGGTGTGTGCGTATTGATAACGCAGCAGCGCGTAAATATGGCCGGTGTCTGTCCTCTTCAGGCTTTACCTGAAATTTTGTCCTATCTTCTTTTTTTTTTTTAAGATATATGAGAAGAAAATAGTGCCCATATATAGTGGAAACAAGCAACACTTTCTAGAATTAATGTTTACTTGATAAATGTCGGGAAGAGCCAAGCAAATATCTGGTGGGGTGGCTAGAACTGTTGTAGTTAACGTAAAGCTGGGAAAAGCCCTTCTTCCGTCTCGCAATCCATTGCTAAGAGAAAGCAGAAATGTTGAGCGCTTTTCCCAGCCTCACTTTTTGCTGCTTGACTGTTGCACACGACGATCCTGTCAGGACCTCAAGCCCAAGTAACTTTCCGTGCTGTCGGCGCAGATTAAATGCAAGAGGCATCACAGTGGTAAAAATGTAGGTGTGGAACAGAACTTCGTTCATCTTAACAGCTCACATCCAGGCTGTAAGGCTGGAAAAGGAAAATCCAAGTTTTTTGGCCTCCTTTCTTGCCAGTCGTAGCTTAAAATGCAAGGGTTTTCCAAGGGTATCGGCAAAAAATACTTTTGTGTTGCTTATAACTTCCTGGCTGCGTAGATCGGTGTTTTCAGTTTCCAGTGTCATCACCCGTGTGTTTTGCAAGTATACAGTTGGTTTGGGTTGTTACCTTCAAAAACAAGTGTTCTGTGCTTCAGTGCTGGTTGGAAGCCAACTTGTGATGCTGACAGTTAGGTGTTTACCCATATATATGTTAACTGGTGTTTGGTGTTTTGGTTGGAAGACCAGGGAAGGGTTGGTTTTTTCGTTTTTTTGGGTTTTTTTTTCCTCCTTCGGTAAATTCCACCAAACCAAATCCAAGGAAAGTTTTGACACCGGTTCCTAAGACTGGCTAGACCCTACTCAAACGTAACGGCACATCTTTCGCGTGGCAGAGCGCGGGTCGTGCCAAAGCGTGCGTTCCTGCCCAGAGCCTGGGGGGATTTGGAGCAATAACCTCGACTGTCTGTTGACGCAGATGTTGTCTGAAAACCTACATGTGATGCGTCTGCAGAGTGGGACGGCGTTGAGAGCTAATGTCGCCGTCTTCGGTTTTGGAGCGGTACCCGGTTTGGGCTGTGTCATGCTGAAGATACAACCCCTGTGTCCATCTGTGGCAGGGCAAAACGTGAGAGTTAAGATCGAGAAGGGCCCGTGTAGACTGCAGAGGTGTTTAAACTACATGATGTTGATGGTGTGCACCGGTCCTCTTCCTAATAAAGTGGTTTTGTAGCAGGTTTAAGAAGCTTTTAACTTAATATTGTATTCACACAGCAGTCCTTTGTAAGCACAGAACAGTTAATATATTTTGAAATAAAAAACCGTTAACATAAAGAAAACCTGAGTTTGATTTGAACGGTGGGATCTCTGGGATGAGCCCCAAAGGCAGCACTTCACGTGATGAAATAACAGGTTTGCTGGAGACAAAAAACAAATATGCTAGCGGATTCGGAGTCATAGAATCATGGAACCACAGAATGGTTTGGGTTGGAAGGGACCTTAAAGACCATCTAGTTCCAAGCCCCCTGCCATGGGCAGGGACACCTTGCACTAGACCAGGTTGCTCAAAGCCTCAGCCAGCCTGGCCTTGAACACTTCCAGGGATGGGGCATCCACAGCTTCTCTGGGCAACCTGTTCCAGTGCCTTACCACCCTCTCCGTGAAGAAC